AAATAAATAATTAAAAATTAAAAAAAAAAAAAAGGCAAGCCCATCTCAGCCACAGACATGCATCCTGTGGTACCACAAATAATAAGGCTTTGTTTTAAAGGCACCTGTGAGACGGAAAATGAATTTGGAGTCACTGAATACCATGACTGAGACCCATAATTCATGCTCTGGGCCCGGCCCAAGAGCATTAACTGCATACCTACTGTGTGCCAGGATCGTGATGGACCTTGCACTCTCCAGCATTTCCTGGGAGCCACCTGCAATCCTGTAAGATCAGCATTACTAGTCAATTTGCAAAGAGGAAACTGAGTCTGAGAGATGTTATGACATCTTCAAGGTCACTGTGCAGGGTGACAGAGTCAAACTCAGTGTATCTGAACCAAGAGCTGAGGGTGGGAAGCCTGGAGCAGAGCTTTGAGGGCAAAAAGGCATGAGAACACTTCAGAAAGGTGCTCCTCTCATTGCTGTTGTTCTTCCCCCTCTGGCTCCAGGGTCTTTGCACAGGCTGTCCCTGGCATGCTCTTTCCATTCCTCACCTATGAGACTGACAGGCCTCCTGCTGCTGCCTACCCTGTCAGGTGGAGTATTCTGAGGCTGTAGGCTGCCCCCCATAACAAGCACTCAATAAGGGTCCCCCCTCACGTGTCCCCTTTTCACTCCACTGAGTACAGATTATAATCCTCTAAACTAAACCATACATTTTCAAGGGAGGCAAAAATTGGTTCTTGGAGGACAGAAAAAATAGATGTTACAATTATTTGTGGCCCCATGTGACAAAACCTTTTTCATTAGTATTGCATCTCTCATCAGAGAGAAATTAAATAATTTACTTAATTAAAGTGAGTTACTTAATTGCCATTAAGTTTAATTAATTTAAATGATTCAATAATTTGATGCTTCTCCTTAGAGAATGACAATGGGAAGAGAGTGGGAAATGCTGCTTTAAGCTTCTTTTATAAGCTTGCTTATGCTCCGTCTGATGCCCTCTGACCTCAAGGAGGGTGAGCCAGGTCTGTCTAGTTCCACCTATAGCTCCAGTCCTAGAACGTTGCTGGCATACAGTAGGTGCTCAGGTGATACCTACCGTGTGCCAAACCCTGCAGAGAATAATCCAGACAAGGCTCTGCTGTAGAAACATGGTGCTGGGCCTCCTTTCCCTGAATCCTATGGGCAACAGGGAGCCATAGAGGGTTTGGGAGCCAGGAAAAGAAGAACTTGGGCTGGAACATCCCCAACCAGATATGGCAGCTGCTCCTGCCTCCCAAGAATCTCCCCATCCAAGTCCTGCCACTAAGCCAGTCCAAGACAGAAACAGAGCAGCCCACAACTTCTGCAAGGCTGGAGGGGGTGAATGCAGCTAAACCCAGCTTGGCAGGTGGCTCGCTCAGACTAGGGGGTGGACAGGACTCCTGGGTTACTGAGCTCACTGAAGGGCCTCAGGCAAGCCTGGACCCTTGCTGAGGCTTTGTGATCTCCAGGAGAACCTGACTGCCCTGGACCTGAGGATAAACGAGCTGTGATAAACATAGCACAGCTGATGTATATATAGACCCTCCCACCTGGTTTCCAAAAGTATTCAAAACGGCTTTCACAAGAGGCAAAGAAATGAACATTTAGAGTGTGCCAGAGTCTACACATGAGGGTCTGGCATCACAAGCCTCAGGGAGTGGCACCAGGACAAGAAGAATCTGAAATCCCTCCAAGAAGCACGTCTGAATGAGAACAAGCTCCCCCTCAGGGGAGGTGTGCAAGCAGAGGTCTCAGCCCCTGGCGAGGGTGTGACTAGGGAGGGATCCCCGCACTGGACAGAGGTTTGGCCAGATGCTCTTAAGTCCCTGCTGGGAGAGGAGATGACCCCGGCCCAGCTTTCTCATCCATTGCCCTTACCCACAAAGCACTCAAGGACACAGCGAATGCAGGGCTGATGGCAGGAGCCACATGCTGGCCCCTTCCCTTTTTACTGAGCCAGAGCCATCCTGACAGGCTTAAAAACTGGAGGGGGTGGGAGAAGGATAAACCTTACTCACTGCCCCGGGACCGCTGTGCTGACAACTGCAGTGATGCAGGCAGCCCTGTCCCCAGACCTGACCAAGATCCCAGCTCTGGTGTTGCTCCCTGTGTGACTGTGAGCCCATCGCTTCCCTTCTCTGAGTCCCCAGTCAGTACAACCAGGGGCGGCCTTGGTTCTAAGAGCCCTCCCGGGACCCACAGCCCCAAAGAAATAGAAGGGTAGTCTCCAGCCCACCCCCGAGTCATGGCACAGACCTAACAGAGCCTGGCTCTCTGGGCCCCACTGCATTGGTTCTAGCATCGTTCTGGCACCAGAGGGCAGCTTCCCTGCACCTGCCTCTTCCCTCTGTCATTGCCTGGCCTTCTGTGCCAGGGTCTGAGCAAGACAGACCCAGCTGGCAAGACAACTTCCAGAGTAGTTGGAGAGCTGCTCAGCAGGCAAGCGTGTGAAGAAAACACAGCAGGCCAAGGGGACGCAGCGACAAGGTGGTTAGGGAGCCAGCTCTGAGCGGATGGCATCTCTGGGGTGAGCAGAGACATCCTAGGCCAGCCAGGAGGACTGACGGGGCAGAGTGACACGTTCGGGCACAGAGAACAGCGAGTACAAAGGCCCTGAGGCAGGTCTGAGCACTGCGTGGCTGAAGCACAGGGAGCAAGGAGAAGTACGGGGCGTGGGGGCTGGCTGGCGTGGGCCACCGGGAGGCGCGGACTGGAGGAGGTGGGAGCCACAGCAGGGCTCCGAGAAGAGGCCAAGCTGATGTCTAAGGAGCGAAGCCGCCTTCCCTCGCCTCCAGAAAGGATGTCACCAAATCCTCCCGCGGGGGCCACCTCTTGCTCCCAGCCAGGCCCGGATGCTGACTTTCCATGCTGCCCCGTGAGGAGGCTCTCACTGCTGCACCTGAAGCAGACAGTTCGTGTGGCTCCACCGTCTGTCTGTCAATCCAGAGAGCCTCATTCATCCCAGGTCTGGGAAGGCTTGCTCATCCTGTCTGGTCCCTATGCCCATGACCCCCACCCTCATGGACTGTGGCGGGAGCCTCCACCTGGGGTGCTCATGGCTGAATAAACCGCCGTGTGCTTTGTGAATGTCAGTGACCTGCCCGCAGGCTTCTCCCAGGTGGATACCTGGACGCCCTTTGTGAAGACTGCAGGATCCCCTCCATAGTACCCGAACCATGTTACACCAATGTGAAGAGGAATCTAGGAACTTTGCTTGGGAAACTGAACCACTTGCTGGGTAAAAAGCACTTTGCAACCCTGCAGAGGACCTTGTTATCGGTCAATTATTACTTTGTAAGCTGTTTTGTGAACAGCTCTGGGCTCTGTAAACGGCAAAGTCCTTTGGACATTGCAGATGATTTACCAGCTATAGAGCGCAGTGGAGGACAGGGGAGCCTGGCGCTCTGCAGTCCATGGGGTCGCCAAAGGTCGGACATGACTGAGCGACTGAACAAGAGCGCTGTGAACCCAGAAGAGGGGGCACCCCTCCCGGCCTCCGCGTAGAGGACGGGCGCTTCGGCGCGCCGGGGCCGAGGGGTAGAAGCCGGGGCTGTACCGCGCCGCCTGGTGGCTGCGGAGGGAGGAGCACCCCGGGCTGTGCCCGGGGCTCGGGTCGGCTGGACCTACGCGTGCGTGCGTGCGCGCGCGCTTGTGGGGGGGCGCGCGCACAGAGCCACATTCGCACGCTGGCCGATCCGTCTATGCAGGTATCCACGGGCGCACCTGCAGGACCACGCCCTCAGTCTTTTCTCACGTGTTCATTCATCAGTGTCTCCACTGATCACAGGTGGAGCGCTCCCCGCGCCGCAGCTTCCGGCACTGAGCACACGATAGTGACGGGTCTAATTAGCCCAGATTAATACATCGATGGGGCCATGCGCAGGCTGGCCTCCCTGGGAAGTGACAGAGGAGTCAGGAGCTGGTAAGCAGGGACCCGCAGAAGGTGGGAAGGGGCGTTCCAGGCACAGGGTACAGTCACAAAGACCCCCTCAGGTGAGAACGGGCTCCCTGCCCAGATGGACCTTGAGGTTGTTAAATGCTGCATCCAGGAGAACTACCAGCAGAGGCTGTCCCCTTGGGCATGAAAGTCACACTCCGCCTCTGGCTGAACTGAGAATGGGAGGACTGGTGGACAGAGGCAGAGGAAAGAGGGACCCCGGGAGGATCCGTGTCTCCTGTGGGAACATGCCATTTCCCCTAGAGGGCCAGCGAGGCCCTGCTTTCAGATCTTGGAGTGCAGGCCAGAGAACTCTCCATGCCCAAGATGGGCATGCGGATGAGCCTGTGACCCTTCCCAGCTGAGAAGAGCCAGTCCTGGGGCTTCAGCAGTTCTGGACCACTTTGCTAAGCTGGTAGCAGCTACTGAGTCCTGACATGGCCCCGTGTGGCAGTACAAAACGGACACAGAGGAAACAAGTAAGGTGATTTAAGTTCCACAGGAGGTTAACCTGGCTCCCGGATCCCATGGTGCCTGAGGCCAGGCACACTTCTGCTTATGTGAGCAAATAAATTCCCTTCTACTTCAGTCTGAAGGAACAGCGTTTCAGCCCAGGCCTCAAGGATCACAGAGTCAGAGCCCTGCCAAGGGTACCGTCCTCCAGCTGCCCCACTGCCTCTGTCCCAGAGCCTAGTTCTCCAATCATAAGCTGTGTGGCTCTGGACAAGTTACTTCACCTCTCTGGACTCATCTGTGAGCTGGGGACCATGAAATTACCCTCAGTGAGGTGACTGCCCAGCCCAGGTGCAGCACCTGACAATGCACTTGTCAGTGCCCCCAGGGGACGAGGCCTAAGTCTCCACTCTGCCCAGTGTCCAGCAAGGGCCTGGAGCCTCATCACAGGCCTGAGGCAGCCTTGTGTCCTGGCATGTGGAAGTGCACAGCCCTGGAAGGCCAGAGGCTCCCCTGACCATGCCGCCTGTCCCTGCCCCTCAGAGCCACCAGCCACCACTGAGCAGCAGGGGGGTCATAGCTCTGACACAGTCACACAACCTTTTGCCCCACTTTTTTTTTTTTTTTTAATTAAAACAGCAATCAGCCAACTGCCCCAACCCATCAGGGACAGGACCCTAGACAGGCAGTCCTTTCTTCCAAAAAAAAAATATATATATATATTTTTTTAAACAATACCAAAAGCAAATCCACAGCCCCTGTCGAGCCGGTCCCCAAGGAGAATGAGCTGGGTGGCTCAACCTAGCACCTCTCTGAGCAGAGACCTTAGGCCCATCTCCCAAGACCCCAGCCTGAGCAGAGAGGGCAGGTCTTAGCCGCTGGTCCCCTAGCAGGTGACAAAAAAAATGATCGGCTCCAAACCATGCAAGAAAAACCAGCCAAACCCACAAAGCAAAAGAAAAAATCAGGAAGATAAATTAAAAAAATAAAGGTGAAACAACACCCCTAGAGGCGGCAGGCAAGGGTGAGGTGACCCCAGTGCCCTTAGAGCCCCGTCTGCCAGTGCTGGGGTGAAGGCCTCGGCGGCTCTGGCACCTGCCTTGTGGGGGCTCCAGGGAATTCACGTGGCTCATCCCCATGCTGGGTCCCCCACCAATGCCAGGACAGAGGTGTGGCCAGCCTAGGCCAAGTGTGCAAAGTCCATTCAGTCGAGAGAGAAAAAAATATACAACTTGGGTGGCGTCCAGGGCTGGGCCAAGGCAGTGGCCTGCACAAGGCAGCGTTGCCTTCTCTGTGAGGGGCATCAGGCCCCTCCAAGTCCAGAGTCTTGGGGTCCTTGGAGCAGCAGGGGCAGAGGCACTGGGGGTCCCCGATGGTCTGGTTCTTTGGCACTTGGGACCTTGCCTGTCAGGCAGGAGCAGCCCCCTGGATTCCTCTTGGGTGCCCAAGGCCAGGGCGGCAGTAGCTTATGGGTGTGGGCAAGCACTGCCCCAACAGAGGGTTGGAGCAGGTCCAAGCCCTGCCCCTACGAGTCCTCTCCCAGGATCTCCTTCACAAAGGCAGCGATGTCAGTCTTCTTGGTTTTGTGCGAGGTGAAGAAAGGGTGCTCCTGAGGGTACAGAAGGTAGTCACCTTGGAGGGGCAACCAGCCAACTCCTAGTCCTAACCCGCACCCTGACCCTTCCAGCACCTCTGCCCCAGGAGGCCCTCCAGGTAGAGTGTGTTCAGGCTTCCTCCTCAGCTCTCTCACTGCTGCCCTCCACTCGCTCTTGCCCGTACATGCCAGGACTCTGCCCACAATGGGCCTTCCACATGGAGTGCCCTCTCCATCGGCAAGGAGATCCCCATTCATCCTTCGAGGCCCACGTTCCCTGCAAAACTTCCTGACGCCTCCAAATAAAATGGCCCACCTGCCCTGCTGGCCCTCTGCCTCACTCCAAAGGCCTGGCATGAAGGGTGAAAGAGGGAGCCAGAGTACAGGAGTGAATGAGCCAATGAGCGACAAAGTTCCTCAAAGAATTTTGAATGCAGAGGCAAGCCAGAGGAGCTACCCACTGCTGTGCATAGAGGCAGCCCTCTCCCAGAGAGCCCCACCCATACTCACCATCAGCTCCAGGTAGCTCATGCGTTCCGCGGGGTTCTTTCTCAGGCTAGGAGAGAACAGGGTAGGCTGAGGCCAGGATGGCAGGGAAGCGAGTCCAGCCCATCCAGGCGAGTCAAGTCAGGCTGGGCTTGGCCCTGCCCAAGCAGCAAGGAGACACACATGCTCCCGACGCTCAGGAAAGAAAGGGCTGAACTGTCCTGGGGGCTTCCAAGGGCAGAGTGGGATCCATGGTGCCCACCACAGAGACTGGACCAAGTTTCTTTGCCTCCTGGGGTGTGAGCTTTCTTATCTCTATAGTGACCTAGGAGATTTCCAATGATCCCAATACTAAAATGCTACCATTTACCATCATATGCTTGGTGTCCTTAATCGAGAGTGGAAATTCCTTACCATGGGTCCTGGGAGAGAATGACTCTGTCTGCCAGGCGCACTTGTTTTCAGACTTTCTTATTTTCCGGTGAAAGAAAGAAAGGCTGTGAGCGTCTCTCTGGCCACAGCACATAGCTGTTGGTATGTTATACTCTGTCTTTACTTCTCATTACTTTATAATTTTATTTCTTAGATCTCTCTTATAACCCAAGAGTATATTAGAAGAATTTACTTTAAATTTCCTTGTAGCTTTTTTCTCCATAGTTATGTATTTCCTGTTCCATCTAATTACAGTCAGAGAATGTGGCCTATATGACTTTACCTCCTGCCTTTTCCTTTATTTCCTCTGTAATCTCAAACATAATTAATCCTTATAAGGATCTTGTGGGCATTCTTTAATGTGATACAAAGTTCTAAACATCAACAAAAGCAAATTTACTATGCATTTAAATCTTCCATATGCTCTTCATTTTCTTTTTTGATCTATGTGATCTGTCCATTTCTAGAGGAACTGTATTAAAAACTCCTCCCAGGACCATAGTTTGTCAAATTATCCTTATACTCTAACTCTTCTGCCTAGTATTTTGATGCTGTTTTGGGGGTTTATCTGCTAAAAAAGGAGACCGGACCCAGGGAGGATGGGATCTAGCCAGGGCAGGGAGGGGTACTGACTGGGCCCAGGGAGGCCCTCAGGTCTGAGCAGGGCTGAGACTCACCACTGTGCGGTGAAGTCCACAAACTCAGGGGAGAAACGGTCAGCTGGGAGCTGGGGGGATGGCTCCTCTACCACCTGCTTCAGCTGCTGGAAGGGGGTGCCCCAGGACTCGTAAGGAAATCGCAGAATGGCCATCTCAATCTGCAGTGGAGATAGCAGCATCGGGTCAGAGGCACCCACACTCTGCACATGGAAGCAAAGCCTTCAAAGATCCTGCCTGTCCTGGTCCAGCATCTGAGCTGGACTGTGAGGCTGGTCAAGGGGCTGACAGGTGACATCAGTCCAAAGATGAGAGCCAAGAGGACAGAGGAGTTAGTTCTTCTGTCCCAGCCAGCGAAGACTACAGCTCATGGGACAAATTCAACCCTGAGTTTTGACTGGCTTGGCTATCAGGTTTTCAAACAATCTGAATTCAGAAGGTTTTGTGTTAAAACCCAGGTTCCAGTTAACCTGGAAAAATCAGAGGGCTGGCAGCCTGGAGTGCTCCCCCTAAGGCCTCTGTCAGCAAAGTGCCTTAGAAAAGCGATCAGCTTTGAAGTTCCCCACAGGCCACTCCCTCCCTAATGTCACAGCAACGCCTTAGCATCCGCTACCATTTATGTGGGCTGTTGTCATTACTGAAAAGGCAAGCGGGAAGTGAAATGATTCTCATGAGCTTGCAGGAGGAATGAGACTGAGAGGTTCATCTTCTGGAGTGTGCAGCAATCCATCAGGCTCCACTAAGAAATGACGTCTGCAGCTCCTCCTCCTCCACAAAGCCCCCACCACCCAGCCACCAACACCTGGGAAGACTGTCTCCAGTGCTTCCCCTCCAGGAAGCCTTCCCAGTCTGATCTTGTCACTGTTTCTCCTGACTCCCTGGACACAAGGCTGCCATAGCCTCATTGCTTCTACTAGACCCAGATCTCCCTGTGCCCCATGCCTCGCCTGCAGGAGTCATTTGTAGGAAAGACTGGCTGGCTCACAACAAACTCTGCTTCCAATTTTGACCGCTGACACGAAAACTCATGTCCACCTCCCTGACAAGCGATCATCGTAATAAACAGGAGAGACCTCAACTCAAGCAGACGCACCCAAATAGGTCACTAGTTGTGCTCAGAAAGCACCTTCTCATCAGGCTCCAGGCTCCCTTCCAGCCAAGACACAAACACGGCCACCGTTGGAGGTGGCGCAGTGTCGCGGGTAAGGCTATGACCCTGGATTTTCATAGGACAAAGACAGCCTCCTTTCTTTCCTAGAGTTTCCACTGACTCCAGCACACAGGAGTGAAGCCCCTGCCTGGGCTGCAGAGAAGGATGCAGCGGCCACCAGTTTGTAAGGACGAAAACAGAGAAGTGTCCAAACCTTGGATCGAGTCATTCCTCTTCTGGTAATTTTTTTCTAAAAGAGCTCAAAAAATGAAAAACGAAAACATAAGCAGCCTCTGGGCACAGAGACGCATGGTATGGCATTATCTGTGGGAGTAAACGTGGAGAAGCGGCAAGAATGAGCAAGGCAGGGCTAAGCCTCGCCACTGTCGTGAAGCCCTCGTGCACAAGGAGCCAGCTGGTCTGGGGCTGGCTGTGCATTCTCAGTGAGCACCACGAGCCCTGAGGAGGTCCGACGGGCAAGTCATCACAGACGGGAGCGGCATAACGCAGCCCTAACCCAGGCAGGGCGTGAGGCACCTGCAGACGCTCCACTGAGGACACCATGATCTTTGATGGCACTGTCTCTTCTCACATCGTGAAGCCAACCAACCCTTCTGTCCAGGCTAGACTATCTGGCAGGCCCCCAGGAGCTCACAGACCTGGCACAGCCCCCACCCATGCTCCACCCGACCAGCAAGGGCGCCCCAGGCGGTACCATGGTGATGCCGAGGCTCCAGACATCTGACTTGACATTGTAGCCTTTCTGGTTCAGTTCTGGGTTGATTCTCTCGGGCTGGAAGAGAAGTCAGAGCAGGGTCACCGAAGCCCCCTCAGCTGGGTCTGGTTGCCCCCCACAAAACTTAGGGGCCAGTGCCCACCCATCCTACCTCCCCCAGAGCAAATGTGGAAGCTGAGGCCAGTGAGGGCCAGGATCTTCAGGTGGAAGCCTAAGTCTTGCCACCCAGCTGCCACACGTGGGGCTCCCACCTTGGGGCACCGGCAACTCCCGCAGGCCCCACCAGCCACCCCCGAGGTGAAACTTATCATCCAAATGGACACCGTGGGGTCATTCAGAAAGGGGTGGAGAGGGTTGAGCAGGAGACTCCCTCTAGCAGAAAATTCAGGGTCTGGGGAGGCGTCATTCGTGATGGAGCAGGAGGACACGGCTGAGTGCCCGAGCCTGTCTGCTTCCTCTGGGCATGGCCTGGGAACCACTTACGGCCATGTAGGGTTTACAGCCAGCGTCCATTGTCTTGGCCACGGAATCCACCAAGTAACCACTGATCCCAAAGTCACACATCTTCACGTGGCCCTCCTTGTTGATAAGGACGTTGGACGGCTTCACATCTGCCAGAGGTAGGACACGCTTTTCAGCTCCTAGTTGTTGGCCCCGACTGCCCAGGTCAGAGCTGGTAGCCACACAGTCAGGAGCCCCAGCCTCCAGCTACAGGTGGGGAGAGAAGCTGGCTCCAGGGCTTCACCCAGGACCATGTCTTTGCAGCTTCACAGTAGGGACTCAGCCCCCACTTACTAGTGCAACCTCTGGCTCTGGGGTCCACCCAGATGCAGGGAACTCATCACTAACAGTGTGAGCACTGTAAACCACCCAATATCCACCCTGAGGGGTAGGTGGTCTTGGCCAGGAAGCACGAGGCAGCAGCTCAGACACAGGAGGCAGGTCTGTAGGAAGACGCTGAGCCCCAGGACTCATGGTGGACATGGAGCAGGCACAGAGTGGACAGGAAGCGAGCTAGAGGGCACAGTGGGACCATCCAGCAAGCACATGCACAGGATACATGCGCATCCCTCCTGCCTTTTATGAGGACTTCTGCAGATACACAGAGAGACGACCAAAGGTTCCAGGACAACCAGCCGAGAGCAGTGGCCTGGGGACCACTCAGTGGTCAAAGGGGCTTAGCCTAATGAACTCCGTGTGGCAAAGCAGACCCCTCAGGACACAGAGGGAGGGGACGGGCAGGACACACACAGCCTCACTGAGTCTCAGAATCATCGGCCCAATTGGGAGGCTAAGAACGAGCAAAACCAACCCCCATGGGAAAATCAGTGGAGTCGGGGGCTGGGGCATGACAGGGCAAGAAGGGGAGGGGAGGGTAGGGGTGACCCAGTGTAAACGATCAGATCTGTGCAGCGGTACACACCCCACCTGCATGCTCCTCAACACATACACAACACATCAAGACAAGATGGGCCAGCTTTCCCAGGATGGAGGTCCACCCTGTCCGTGCTCTAGGCACCAGGGAACAAAACTAGGACTGGGCCTGGGGGCTGTCGGGAATGGCTGAGAGGAGTGGACAGTGGCCTGGACCCAACAGGCACATCACAGCCTGTCACCTCCCAGAGCCTTGACATTGCAGGCCCAGCCAGACTGCGGGAACGTGTGTGTGAGGCCAGGCCCCTCCCCACCAGCCCACCCGGGCACTGACCTCTGTGGATCACGGACAGCTTGCTGTGCAGGTGTTCCAGGGCCCTCACGATCTGGTGTTTGGGATAGGAAGTAGGGAGAGACAGGTCACATCAACAGTGACAGAATCATTAAGACTCCCCACCCAGGGCTGTCTGTCGCCCTCTCCCAGGTCACACCAAGCCCCTCACCATCTGAGGCTCCCGCCCACATCCCAGCCTTTGCTGTGGTGTCCTGGCCACCCTGATGCTGACATACCCGGTTCCTACACTGCTCTGAAAGGGCCAGGGTCTCAGCTGATGTGACCAAGACCCTGCAGAGTCTGACTTATGAAGCCCCAGAGTGCTGTCCCTACCTCCACCAGACTCCTGGGTAGAATCTGGCCCTTCTGCGGCCTCCTTGCATCCACCCTCCCACCTCCCCTACCAGCAGTCACTGGGCTACATGCCCAGAGCCACTCCCCACAGGAATCACCCCGAAGATTCTGACTCAACACCCTGGGGGGTATGTTTACGTGTTCGCAGCTACGGTCAGGGATAAAGGACCTGGTACACAAGTCCCCACTCTCCTTCTGCTTTGGCTGCTGGGTGCTCACACCCAGGGAGCCACCTGCCCTAGGACATGCAAGCTCAAGAGACAGACCCATGGTTTTCTCCCCTGACTGCGTGCCTCTGTGAGCTGCCTCCGAGCATCTTCAGGATAAGGAAGCTGTGAACACTAAGTCCTCTTCTGTGGCCTCGAAACTCAGGAGATGCACAGGAAGGCCCAGAGATCCTGGCTCTGCTAAATCTGTGTGGCTCCAGGACCCCAGGGTCTCCTGAGCAGGAAGGCTCCGGTCCAGGGTGGGGGCACTTGGGGCTTCCAAAGGCAGCTGCCCAGCTGCAGGGCCACAGCTGGAGGCCACACGGGGGGCCCAGCTCTGCCCAAGACACTACCATTGGGACCCCCATAACCCCACTTACAGACACAGCGATCTCCCCGAGAATGTCTTCTGGGATCGTCATGCCCTTGTCTAGCACCTTCCGATAGAACTTGTCCAGGGACGTGTCCATGAGCTCCATGCAGATCCACACATCTCCCTGCAGGTGGACAACCACAGCTCAGCCACATCCGCCCAGGGCTACCTAGCCCGGCATCCTCCCATGCCCATCTCCCTGGAGCCAGCCAGCCCCTGACACACCTCCACCCCTCAGCCCTCAGGGGTTCTCTGACCTCCCAGCCCCTCCCCAACAAGGCTCTCCAGCACTGCTGGGTCCACATGGCAGCCTCCCCCCGCTGTCACCTCGGCTCTCCCCAACCAGACTCCTATTTCCATGGATCATCCCAGCTCTGACCCTGGCCAGAGGGTCCCTTCACCGGCAACATACTGTCCCCCACCCCCACCCCCATCCAGGACAGCCTTCTGAGAAGGCTGGGTGCAGCATTCCCTGGGGTAACCCCAAGCTCCTGGGCTTCCTGCCAGCTGACTCAGCCAGTGGGGAAGCTGGCTGTGTCTCCTCACCTCTCTAAAGAGGGCCCCGTAGAAGGTGACAGTGTAGAAGCAGTCCACCGTGCGCATGTTGACATCCAGGTCCATGAGCAGGCGCTTCTGCTCCTGAGAGTTCACGGTGGCCCGGATGCGCTGCAGGGGGAGGGGCTGCGGTCAGAGCCCGGGCGGCAGGGGTGCAGCCCCAGGTGCCCCCCGTTCTGACAGCCCTGGGTCGGGGACACTGCTCACCTTCACAGCCATGATGGTGCCACTCTGGGCATGCCGCACCTTCTCGACCACCCCATAGGCACCTCGGCCCAGCTCTGAAATGGTCACCAGGTCATCCGCCTCCACCTCAAAGTTCTTAGGGGACAGAAAGGAGAGAGGGTTCGGGGAAGCCAAGTCAGGCACCAGTGGAGATGCTGGGGCAGCAGAAAAAGAGAATCACCAGCCAGTCAGACCTGTGCTCAAGTCTTGCACCAGCCACTTCTGCTGTGTGTCCTAGGGTAAGTCACGTAACCTCTCTGAGCATCCCCTCACCTTCTCTAAAACAGGCGCAGCACCTACATACAAAGGCTGCTACAGGGTGTCAGCACATCAGCCTGGGAAACGCTCCCAGCGATGCTGGGCCCTAGAGAGATGCCCTTTTCCTCTTGCCCCACCCTCTCAGGTGGCCAGACTCACTCATTCATCACCTACAGTGTGTAAGTCCCTGTTTCAGGCTCTGGGGACACAGACAAGACAAAAGAAAGGCCTTGCCTCCCAGGGAGCAGTGGGGCCCTGGCTGCCCACCCTCTCTCTTGACCTGCTGCCCAAGGAAGCAAGCAGGCAGATGAACAAGACCCCTCAGCATGTCATGTGGGCAGCACACGGCCTCCCAGCCTGCTTCCCAAGGGAACCACTGGCGTCGGGAGGTGCCAGTGAAATGCAGGCCCTTTGGGCAGAGCCAGGGATCTGCACACTCGGCACCGTGACTCTAGCTCCCCAGGGCCCAGGAGGCAGCCACCAGACAGGCCACCTAGTCAGCAGCAGGGAGCCGCCCCCCTCCACAGCGCAGCTCTGTCCCCACCCACAGACACCTCCCAGGGTCTGTTGACACCTACCCTGTCTCCAATGGTGATGAAAGCCCGGGAGTCCAGGTTCCGGGGGAGCCTGCAGGGGAGAACGAAGGCGTGAGCCCCAGAGAGCTCTGCCCTCTCAAGGGGGTCCCCGCCCCCCGCACAGTCACCAAGCATCTGCGGGGCAGCACATGGCCTGTCACATGGACACGCCCTCAGATGGGCGAGGAGGGCTCCAGGAGGACGTGCAAGGCACACAGCACCCGCAGCTGCTTAGAGGAGATGCCGCCCACACAGGCAGCCTGGCCCCCACGCTGGCCCCTGCAGGCAGCACCAGAGGAACTGAGGCCAACTCACGTGGGGCTGGGCGCCGGCGGCTTGGACGTGCAGATTCGTAAATCCTTTTTCCTCCTGGACTTTCCTAAGAGGGAGAGAAGGGAGCATGCAGTCAATCACTGGTCAACCAACCTCCTCAGGGACAGAGAGGGACAGGCCCCAAGGACCCAGCACAGACACAGATGCCATAGGCCAGTGTGGTCAGTGCTGGGATGGGACCCCAAGGCCTCCAGGCACCTGGAGGACATGTCCAGCCCAGGCTAGAGGGTCTAAGCCCTGCCAGTCATCCTCAAACAGTCACTCGACGGTCGTCTGAGAAAAGGCAGCACCCCCAAGGAAGATGCACCTGCTTCCCGGCCCCCATGAGGCCCCTGTACTTCCAGGCCTAGAGTGAAAGCTGAGGTCCCAACACCCAGTACCCCTGAGCATGATCCTACTTGAGATTTACAGAAATGACCAAGTCACAGTGAGGTCACAAAGTGGAGCCCTGATCCAACACAACAAGCTCCTTAAAAAGGAGAAGCTTGGACACAGAGACAAGACATGCATCAGGGAGGAAGACGATCATCTGCAGCCGCAGCAGGACCAAGCCCTGTGACACCTGGACGGGCTCCAGCCACCAGACAGGCCACCTAGTCAGCAGCAGGGAGCCGCCCCCCTCCACAGCGCAGCTCTGTCCCCACCCACAGACACCTCCCAGGGTCTGTTGACACCTACCCTGTCTCCAATGGTGATGAAAGCCCGGGAGTCCAGGTTCCGGGGGAGCCTGCAGGGGAGAACGAAGGCGTGAGCCCCAGAGAGCTCTGCCCTCTCAAGGGGGTCCCCGCCCCCCGCACAGTCACCAAGCATCTGCGGGGCAGCACATGGCCTGTCACATGGACACGCCCTCAGATGGGCGAGGAGGGCTCCAGGAGGACGTGCAAGGCACACAGCACCCGCAGCTGCTTAGAGGAGATGCCGCCCACACAGGCAGCCTGGCCCCCACGCTGGCCCCTGCAGGCAGCACCAGAGGAACTGAGGCCAACTCACGTGGGGCTGGGCGCCGGCGGCTTGGACGTGCAGATTCGTAAATCCTTTTTCCTCCTGGACTTTCCTAAGAGGGAGAGAAGGGAGCATGCAGTCAATCACTGGTCAACCAACCTCCTCAGGGACAGAGAGGGACAGGCCCCAAGGACCCAGCACAGACACAGATGCCATAGGCCAGTGTGGTCAGTGCTGGGATGGGACCCCAAGGCCTCCAGGCACCTGGAGGACATGTCCAGCCCAGGCTAGAGGGTCTAAGCCCTGCCAGTCATCCTCAAACAGTCACTCGACGGTCGTCTGAGAAAAGGCAGCACCCCCAAGGAAGATGCACCTGCTTCCCGGCCCCCATGAGGCCCCTGTACTTCCAGGCCTAGAGTGAAAGCTGAGGTCCCAACACCCAGTACCCCTGAGCATGATCCTACTTGAGATTTACAGAAATGACCAAGTCACAGTGAGGTCACAAAGTGGAGCCCTGATCCAACACAACAAGCTCCTTAAAAAGGAGAAGCTTGGACACAGAGACAAGACATGCATCAGGGAGGAAGACGATCATCTGCAGCCGCAGCAGGACCAAGCCCTGTGACACCTGGACGGGCTCCAGCCACCAGACAGGAAGTCCAGTATTGAAGCCACCCAGCAAGTGGGGCTTTGTCTGACAGGCATCACCCACAGCCAAGCCCATAAGCCAGGACCTGTGAGCAGGCCCTGTGTGTGCAGGCGCCCTGTGAGCAGGCCCCCTGTGAGCAGGCCCCCTGTGTGCAGGCCCCCTGTGTGCAAGGTGCCCCACGTGCAGGCCCCCTGTATGCAGGCATCCCGTAACCAGGCCCCCTGTGTGCAGGCCCCCTGTGTGCAGGCCCCGTGTGCAGGTCCCGTGTGTGCAGGCACCTGTGAACAGGCCCCCTATGTGCAGGCCCCGCGTGTGCAGGAGCCCCATGTACAGACACCCTGTGTGCAGGCCCGGGTAGAGATGCGTGAGGACACTTTCAGGTGGACCCACAGTCACACCTGACGCCATTAGCACTTCACCCCAGCTCACTCCCGGCTGGCAGGGGGTGGGGGCGAGGGGGGCTAGCGGGGGATGAAAGCTCAGTAGGCCTACAGGGGTCAAGGCAGGGTGGACTCAGGCCTGAAGCTGGACCCAAGGCCTCATCTCACCCCTGCCCACGGCCCCAGGCAGCCTTCACTCCTCTGGGCCTCAGATTCCCCATCCGGGAGGAGCCCCGTCCCCAGCTCCAGCTAAGAGGGCATGAGGTGAGAGGGGACCAGCGGGTCCAGGCTTCCCAGGAGCAGGCCCAGGCCCCTGGACAGGACGCCTGAGGCACAGGCAGGGCCAGCTCTGGCCAGGCCCACTCTTTCCACACCTGCATAGTTTGTGCCTTTGCTGTTTGAAGTTTGCCAACACCAAGCACCCCAGGAAGCCCGCTCCCCTCCCCAGGGTGCTGGATGGGCCTGAGACCCATGACAACGCCTCCTCACCCCACACCTCCTGGGGACCAACGAGGGGTCACCTCTCCAAGCAGTAGTGTCCCCGCCTTTCGGCCAACTGGGTATGTGGCCCGGTGGCCAGCCTGCAGTTGATGCTGAAGAAGAATGGGCATCGCAAGCACTGGGCAGCCCTGGAACTAGACCACCCAGAGCAGAAACAGTGACCACACGCCTCTCCTGCGGCCCAGTGCATCCTCCAGCCTCCCGCCCAAGGCCTGCACCCCTTGCCGCAGACTGCACACCCTCCTGAAGCCACCTCTGGACCGGGTTTGGATCGAGCCTCCAGCACACCCTGCTCTATAGCCTCAGCATCTCATCTGTGAACCCAGATGGACCCAGGAGCTTGGGTCCAGCAGTGGGGGGCCGGCACTGCTGTCCAGTGACGACAGGAGCATCAGTGCCCCTGGGGAGACAAGGCCCAGGCCCAGCTGCACTTAGAGCAGGGTGAACCACCCACCTCTGGGAAGGGGTCCAGCATCTGCTGGGATGGGTGGGCAGACACCTGCAGCTTCTCCTCAGAAGGCCCCCAGGCCCCCTTCATCTGTGGGCCTCTCTCCCCAGGCTGGGCGTCCTGGGCTGGAGCGTCCTGGCTTCTGGGGTGGCACCTCTACCCCACCGATGCCAGCAGCACCCCAAGTTGCCGAATGTCTTCAGACCTGGCCGCAGGGCCTGCCTACTCAGCGCTGAGGGGGATGGAGGCTGTGAGTTGGATGGCTTGGTGCCCTCCCATGGACTCTGCAGGTGAGAAGGGCCTCAGGAGGTGGGGGCCCAAGGGAGGCGGGGTCCCAGGGCTTAGGGAGCCAGCATGTGGCCAAGTGGCCACCTCGCCACTGTGTGCGGGGAGGAGGGGCAGGGGCAGGGTTGCTGGGCTGAGCGGCCCGGCCCAGCCTGGTGCTCCCTGTGGGCTCAGCACTGGGGGTGCCATGGCAGGTGCAGGCCTGGCCATGGAGGCTCCTTGGAGTGGAGAGCCCTGGTTTCCCTAAGTGAGGTGAAGCGAAGAGCTCCTCCTCCAGGGGCATCATGGCACCTAGAGGAGACAGGAAAGGCCTGCGTGTGAGTGGCAGGCTGCTGCTGTCATGGGCAAGAGGGTGTTGGAGTGAGGCCCCGACCCCTGACAATCAGCCATGTTGCCTTGTCTGTAAAACAGGATGAAATCACTCCACACTGAGATCATGGCTGGGCAGTTGGCACACCCCCGTGCTAGGGGCAGGCTCCGGGTGCCCAATCAGGTCCTGAGCAGGCCTGGGCTGGAGGTAGAGAGGTGGGGACATAGCTCCATGCAGGCTGGGCATTGCTCTAAGCGCTCTGCCTGACAACTCGACAGGCAGGTGCTCCTTTCACCCCCTGTATGAATGAGGACACTGAGGCTCAGAGAGAGGGGAGGGACTCACCCAGGGCCACCCAGCCTATACGGCACGAAGGTGGGATCTGACCCTGTCGCAGAGACAGCCTTGCTTTTGGCGACAGGGTTGCACAAGAGCCAAGGCGGGTATGGAGCGAGTGGAGACCCGGCTCTGGGGCTGCGGGCCGTGCCGGCAGGGCACATGCTCAGCTGTGGGCCCAGGGCCGCCTGGCTCGGGGCCTTTGGCCAGGACTGAGCGTCTGCTGCTGGCCCCCAGACACCAGGCTCGAAGTGTGTCCCTTTTCACTCCCTGATGGCACCCAAACTCCTGCTGACACCTGAGGCCCTTCACTTGTCCCCTTACACCGTTCGCTTGGGAAAATCTTAAACCCTGCAAGCTACACAATGATGCAGTCAATGGGAGTCAGGGCTGGTGGTACAGCTGCCCAGGTGGAACACTGCACCACTGGGAACTTGAGATTCACTTGAAGCAATAACAGCTGCAGACGCTGAGACACGCTCAGTGCTTCCACAATGTTAACATGCTGACTCCTCAACGGAGGCCCCAGTATCACCCCCGTGGTGCAGTTCCTCACTGCTGGCCAGTTCCAGCCTCTCCCCACCCCCACCACACACCAGCGCTGGCCCCACAGACCACGGCGTTGATGCTGGCCCAGGACTCCTGCAGGTCAGTGAACTTAAATACACCACATGTACCTAGGGCTCGATTTAAAACAACAGTACAGAAATGAGAACAAAAGTCAGGACAGTTGTCAGGAAGAGGTAACACTGAAGGGCTTCAGGGGCACAGAAATGTGAGATATTTTTTAGCTGGGTGTCAGGAGTACAGGATTCCCTTTTCTTTATTCCTTAAAATGCAGAGGCACATTCTATATAGCCTTCTGGTGTCTGCGATATACGTGCAATTAAAACACGTGAAAGGAATGGATGCCCACCTGCTGGGAGGCGTCAGCAGAGGCTGTAGGCCCAGCCCCCACATGGCGGCAGGACAGTTCAGGGTTGCCTGGAGGGGCACCAGGGGGAGAAGGGTGACTGGACATAGCCTCCCAGAGAAGCCAGGACACCCCCTGGGTTGCCAGTTCAGCCTGCAGTGACACCCCAGAGAGGGGTCCTCAGGACAGGGGGAGGGTGACAGGCACCTGTCCCCAGCAGGGTGAGTCTGGTGACCCTTTCTCGGGGAGCAGGGGTCCCCAGGGACACTGCAGGGGGAGCAACCACAGAAGTATCTGAGCAAGAAGCCTGACTCACGTGG